TTCACGAGTACCCTGTGCAGAATACACAAAGCAAAAAGAAAACCAAAGGATTAACTGCTATATCATTCTTTCAGTTGTAAGGTTCTTAATTGCTCTATGGTCTTCTCTCCACCTTTCAGAGTCTTCTTATGATTGTTTTATATGCAATATCTAGAGTTTTTAGCTATACTTAGTGGAAAGACTAGGAAGAAGTGTCTGTTCCATGTTGTCCCTGCCTCTCTTGATATTTGAAGCACCTAAGGTAACCTAAGATATAGAATATGCAGGATGCTTCCATTTACCTCTTATAAAATGAGACAAGTTAGGAAAAAAAGTAAAGGACAATTATTCTGAGAATAAAGTGGGTTGGTTCTCTCCAGGTCACAGCCTTCAGTTCAGTTTATTGGTCTTTACCCCCATCTTCTCTAAGTAGAAATTTAGGTTGGAAAGTTAACTGGAGACAATGGATATTATTCTTGCTGATATTTCATGCTCACATATGATTATACACATTGTGATTAAAGAAATGAAAATGGAATAAGTTGTTAGCTAGGAAATTACTGAATCCTTATCAAGACCCTAATGAGAATATTGAAAAAGTAACCATGGGGAAAATTGTGTTTGAAGTCACCCTCCATACTCTCTGTGAGTTAATTATAACCACTAATTTTCATATGTACACAATGTACACATCTCTTTACTATGGAACATTTTAAAATAGGCAGTAATGTGGTCATTAACAGTGTTCCACTGTGTGATAAGGTCATAGCATTGTGTCACACAGTCATTTTAATTGAAATGCTATTGGAGTTGGAGGGGGAAGGGATTCACCATGATAGTATCTGATGTTCAAATAACATAAATTGATTTTGAAGTTGTATTAGAAAATGGAAAATGTTACAAAAGTGCAGAGTATAAATCAATCAGAACTACCAACATTGTAACTATTTCAAAGTTACAAGGTGAGGCAGAGATTATCTGGACCTTCATTTCCTAGAAAATGTGAAGGATAAAACAGAAGCAGAGAAACACAATGCTGCTGGGTTTAGTGCATTGGTTGCAAAATGCTCAGAAACTAATTATGAATATTTGCTGCCGTAAGCCATATTATCATACACTACCTTGTATTTTTCATTGCTGATAAATATACTATTTAGAGTCTATACAGTTACTGAAATACCCTGCATTTGTAAAATCTAATATGTTAAAAATAATGGGCTGCCTCTAAAATACATTAACAAAAACATTCTTAAAGGACTTCATTCACACAATAAGCCTTTTCTCACAATAAGCAAAGTGAAATTGTTTCTTTACTTTTGTAATGGTATCACTGAAACCTCCAGGCAAAAGTAATGAGAACATACAGAATGCAAGGAAATTAATCTGATTATTAAAAAGTTGCTTAAATGTTGCAAAACTGGTATTGCTTATAAATGATATATTAAATATATATTGTAATCTTTAAACAAAGCAGGAGAAAATGAAAACCTGATGTTCTGAACTGTGATGGGCAGTTGGGGAAGACCTTTATGCTTTGCCACACATGTAATTCCAAAGAACTGACTACACAAAGAAGGACCAAAGCTCAGCATTCCTTTTTTAGTCTCTATTTACTAACATAAAAAACGGACACTGTAAACTCACTGAGGCTTTGGGATCTTGAAATTTCAATTTTAGCATCAAAGGTGTTTTGTGTACGAATACACTTTCCCTCTGAGTTTGAATTATTGAGAAAAGAAATGTGACCATTACACGACTATAACAGTTTGCTTGTTTGATGATAACCTGGGGTTGAGGCTATAAAATTATAGTCTATAATGAACGAATCCTTTACATACTTTTCAAATGTTCTTGTGATTGATGAAGTTATTGAAGTGCTGAGATTACAGTGAGGGAAAACCAAGCTTTCATTAGTCACAGTCCAATCTGAGAATGGGCTAGGTTGCCCCTAAACTTAACTGCTTAAAATGATAAATGTTTATTATCTCACACAGTTTCTGGGAATTGAGAACCTGGGAGAACCCAGAGGGTGGTTCTAGTTCCAGGTTCCTCAAAGGAAGGCAGTCAAGCTGTCAGTTAGAACTGCAATAATCTGACAGCCCAACTGGGGATGGAGCAATGGTTATTCATATGACTGCTTCTGATCCTTGCTGGCCATGGGCTGGAATCTCAGTTCCTTGCCATATGGGCCTCTCCATAGGTTATCTGAGTGTGCTCATAACAGGACAGATTTCTTTTCCCAAAGTGTGTGATCTGAAGGAACCCTAAGGAAGAAAGCCATAGTCATTTATAATCTAATTCTTGGAAGTGATACGCCATCACTTCGGCTTTATTGATTGGTCACCCACTAAAACCATGCTACAGTGTGGGAGGGCACAACACAGGTTGGGAATACCAAGAAGTGAGGCTCACTGGGGGGCATCCTGGAAACTGGCTACCATAGGTCCAGAGCTGACTGGCAATTTGGATTCACCTAGAATGTGGGTTAAAGTATTGATATATGTCTTCTAAAAGCCATGTGTGTTCTTGAGAAAAAATTACATCTGAGTCTACTAATCATCATCCAGACACATCCCAAGGGACAAATGGAAAGTTGCTTACACAGCTCTGCCAAAGTTACGTAACCTCAATGTAATTCTACTAAGTAATATACTCTATTAAATATACTCAGCAATAACAGTTCAACTCTTAGTCACACTTTTTATGGGTATCAAGCTACAAATTTAATTTCAAAAGTATGTATGATCTTCCCTGGCTGGTGTGCTCAGTGGTTAGAGAGTTGACCTGAGCACTAAGGGGTCTTGGGCCTGATTTCCAGTCAAGGACAAGTACCTGGGTTGCAGGTTCAATCCCTGGCCTTGTTGGGGGTGCAGGCGGGAGGCAACCAATTGATGTGCTTCTTTCACATCAATCTTTCTTTCTCTCTCTCTTCCTCCCTTTCCCCTTCCTACTTTCTCTCTGAAAAAAAAATCAAGGAAAAAGTATTCTTGGGAGAGCATTAACAACAAAAATAGTATGTATGGTCTACAGTATAGCCCTAGGAGGGTAAAATATATAATGAAGTAATATAAAATAGTATGCTCTAACAAAAAGCTAGGTGATTACCAATCCTATGCATTTAGGAATAGTTTTAAAACCTGGGTATGAAAAGACGGAAAACCAGAGACCTTTCAGCTTTCTTATTTCCCAGCTTGAATAATTTAATTGGATTTTATAATATCAGTAGGAATCAATGACTGCTTTTAGCTTTATATTTTGGGTGAAAAATAAGTCACTTTGAACACTTCTGGTAGTAAATTGCCAGGTAGAGACACAATCATTAAAAATTACTATATATAATTCTTGTTTTTTTTTGGTAAAAGAAATTTCAGATAGTTTTCAATTTAGGAAGTCTTTTGAAGGGCTTCATATAAATCAACTGCTTGAAACTCACAAACCATAAGATACCAGACCCAGGAGAAGCAAATAAAGAGTGGTAGGGCATAAATAGCTCTACTGAACTCACATGCACAACTAAATAAATAAACAGCCAATTTTAAACCTAATAGAATTTTTAATCATTAAATAAGCCATCTGACTAGGCGAGGGCCGATCTGCAAGCTAGAAAGGCTGTTTAACAGGCAGACTAGTGGCAATCGATGACTTCTTCCCTTTTTTAATCCTGCAGGTTATTATTTTTACATCTATCCTATGCCCTAGGCAAGGTATACCCTAGATACTCTACCCTTCAGGGGAGGAAGGGAATTATTGTAGAACAAGAGATGGTGATTTCTGCCTGAGGAGGAACCGGCCTTGGGTGGTATTGGGGTGCTGACTTTCTTTAACAGTGATGCTCCACCTTAGCTGTGTGATAAAATCAGATTCTCTGGGGTGCCACTTAAGTGCCAAACCTTTATTAAGTTCTCCAGGTGATTTTAATGTGCAGCCAAGCTGAGAAGCTTTGTCTTGGGACAGGGTCTCATTAAGTGCTCATCAGCATCACCCGGAGAGCATGTTGAAGTTACAGAAGCCTGGGCCCCATCCAGAGAGTTTGATTCTGTGGCTCTGGGGTGGTACTCACTAATTTGCATTTTAACAGGTTCCCGGATACTGCTGATGCTGCTGTCCAATACTTTGAGAACCAATCTTGAAGAGCCTGATTCTTGTTATATATATGTGTGTGTATATATGTGTGTATATATGTGTATGTGTATGTGTATGTGTATGTATATGTATATGTATATGTATATATATATGTATATATGTATATATGTATATATGTATATATGTATATATATTTCATGCACTAGACGCCCAGTGCATGAAATTCATGCATGGGTTGGGTCCCCAGGCCTGGCTGGTGATCAGGGCCTATGGGGCCTTCCTTCCCCCGATTGCCATCTGCTGGCTGGGGCCTTCTTTCATCCCACACCGCCCCCTGGTGGTCAGCACATACCAGAGTGAGTGCTGGAACTCCTATGGGGACAATTTGCATATTGGCCTTTTAATATATAGGATGTGTGTGTGTATGTTTAATATATTTTATTAATTTCTTTTACAGAGAGGAAGGGAGAGGGATAGAGAGCTATAAGCATCAATGAGAGAGAAACATCGATCAGCTGCCTCCTGCACACCCCCTACTGAGGATGTACATGCCCTTGACTGGAATCAAACCTGGTACCCTCAAGTCCACAGGCCAACACTCTATTCACTGAGCCAAACTGGTTTCGGGGCTTGTTATATTTTTTATTGGAGTTGAGCTGCGAGTGGGCGGAGAGGGAAGAATAAAATTTGGTTGGAGAGAACAGATACCACGAGCCTCCCCTCTCTCCTGGCCCAACTGCCCTCAAATCTGAAGGTGAACTGATATTCAGCTTTATTCTTAGCCTTTTTTTTGTTTTCCCCCACAGATTGAGAAAATAAAGGTTCTTCAGAGGTCGTGTGAACAGTCCCAAACTGACCAGACCAGACTGGACCACCCATCCTGGTTTAGTTGGCTCCTTGCCCACACAGGGCCGCCCCGCCCCCCCTCCGTTCCCGCCTTGGCGCCGCCCCTCCAGACCACACGGCCCAATCAGTGACTCTGCCTCTCCTCCCCGCCTCGATGCCTGCACGTCCTTACGTAGCCACGCAGGCCACGTGCACCCGAGGACGTTCAAAGTGCGGGGAGGACGACGTTCAGAGCACACAGCGTGCTGCGCGGGCGCTGGTGGCGAGGCGTTGCAGCCGCCGTCATGGCCTGTGTCAACTCCGTGGTAAGGAGGACAGCCTGGCCCCTGGGCCTGCGCTCCCGGTGCAGAGGGTGCCGGGGCCTGGGTTTATGGCGGTCGAGCGCTGCGCACCCTTTTCCTTCCTGGCTTCCAGACCCTCACCCTTAGGGGCTCCTGCTGTTCTCCTTGTGGGAGGATGGGAGGAGGGCCAGTAGCTCTGCCGGAAGTGGGGCCTGGCTCCCACCGGAAGAGCAAGTGCCCCTTCTGACCTCCTCCCCAAACTGAGGGTGTCTAGAATGAATGAGACCTTTAGAAGGTGGTGAGATACGGAACTGCCCTTAACCCTCCCAGTGTCCTGTGTTTAAACATTTCCCGAGTTCAGTGGCCTTCCGGTTGTAATTCTGAAGTTCGGTTATAGTTGATCTATCAATATATATTGGATATATTACCTGCTATTTTATTTACACAAAATCACAGGTAATATATTTCATGTTAGTTACCCGCTATATTTTCAGTTTTCCCTCACCTTCCTCCCCCCTCCCTAACTTGTAGCTTCTGCTTAACTGTACAACCAGATCTCTTTGAGGGGTTCCTAAGCCTCAGAATGAGGACTGACAGTGGAAGTGGCACTCGTGAGACCCTCTGTCAATCTTAAAAACCCGAATTAAAGAGGGGGGGGGGGGCGGGGGAAAGCAAGGACTCACTTTCATTTTCAATGCATCTCAACACAACTCATATTTGCTGAAAGGCAATGTGCTTGTCCAGATCTGTTATTTGATGAGTTCCATGTATACATGTGCAGCATGAAAAAGTCAATTTTTAGAGAAATATTATTTTAATGTGTATCCATTTCCTGATATTAATGAGTTTTAAGATAATATAAAATACTTATGTCCTAATAGAAGCTTACCATGTATGCCATTTTATCTGATGATGTACTCCAAGGAGAGAGAGAGTGAGTGCCAGTGTGTGTGTTTTAAATAGAGAAGAGATTAAGGTAGATTTTCTGCAGTATACAAAATTTTAGTAAAGGTAACAGATAGGAAAAGAATATAAAATCTAACTGTAGTCCTAGAAAAGAAAGAAAGAATGTTTAAGGCCCACTTTGCTTTTGAAAAACTGTGTTCTAATGGGCTATTTTTGATGGCTGCTATTTTTGAGGGCAGATTTTAAAGATGTTTTTAGCCCTAGGAGGTTTTTTCCCCCCCTTCAGCTTTAAATGTGCTCACACTAGCTGGGACTAACATTGAAGTATGCCTTTTATCAGGGTAAACTGTTTAAGGAGAAGCATTTAATCTAGGGCACTTAATCTTAATGGATATGCTTGTGAATAACATTATTTAAAGATAACTGATTGGCCTATTCATAAGTTTAGCCTGGATCTTTAGAAGCATTAGTTTAAAACCTGGCTGCTCTTGGCATGAGTGGGAGTATTTCCTGGATAGTCTGAAAAAGCAATGCTAGAATGCCACAATTTCCATTTTGGTTTATTAAGCAATTTCAAACAACTCAACTAAATTTCTGTTTTGCCATTTCTTATTAGTGGGACTTTTCACTAGGTCAGTCTTCTGATTATACTTAGTATTGCCATTTACATTGGGGTGAGAGTAGAGCACAATTTACGTAGATTTGTAGGACCAAGTTTGTTTCACAGGACTGTTTTTCTATTGATAATGGCCAGTGTTTAATCTGGATAGAAATGTTTTTAATATTATTGTTATGGCATGTGTTTTTTTTTTTTTTGTTTTTTGTTTTTTTTTAGGAAGTATTTTATTTTATTTATTTAATTAATTAATTTATTTTTATGTTTGACATTTCTTTTTTAAATTAAATTATTATCTGTGTACATATTTTAATATTGCCCTCCCCCCTCCCTCCCTCCCCAGAGTTTTGTGTCCATTGGTTGTACTTATATGCATGTATACAAGTTCTTCGGTTGATCTCTTATCTCCCCCAGATCTCGCTACCCCCCCAACCCCCGCTGTAATTTGACAGTCTGCTTGTTGCTTTACTGTTTCTATATCTTTTGGTTCATCAGTTTATAATGTTCTTTATTATCCATAAATGAGTGAGGTCATGTGGTATTTAGGAAGTATTTGAGTGTTGCTTAGTCTCTGCAATATGCAGATTGTGGAAAGGTAAGGTTCTTTCATTTCTTGGTTTCTGTTAGGCAATCCATTTTGGTGCAGTTATATTTTTACTTGACAATGGTTCAGAATATTTTTTTTGGCTTATGTGTATTTTGTAAGTGGGTCAGGCTTTGTTTACTCTATTGTAAGTGCTTGTTCCAATCTTACGGCTTATTAGGAGTTTACTTGCATTTATGGAAAAAATATAGTGAATTCTAAAAGAAGCTCCTTTGGCCTCTTTGAAAAAAAGGTAAATTAAAGACAGGTTCATTTCCACCAATTTTAAATTAAATTCCCCTTTGAAAAGGAGTAGGGAGATTAAATACACAAAAGCCAGGTAACATAACAGTAACCATACATCTTGATGAGATTACCTATATACTAGAGGCCCAGCACAACGAAATTCATGCACTGGGCAGGGGTGTGTGGGGGGATGGTCCCCTCAGCCCGGCCTGCACCCCCTCGCAGTCCAGGAGCCCTTGGGAGATGTCCAACTATGGGGAGCGGGCCTAAGCAGTCAGTGGGACATGTGAAGCGCTGCCCTGGAGGTGGGAGCACTGCGCTCCCCAGCTGTGAGCCAGGCTTCTGGCTGAATGGTGCATTGACCACCAGAAGGAAGTTCCTGCGTTGAGTGTCTGCCCCCTGGTGGTCAGTGCGCGTCACAGCGACTGGTCATTCCACTGTTCAGTCTATTTGCATATTAGCCTTTTATTATATAGGACTAGAGTCTCAGTACATGAATTCGTGCACAGGTGGGGTCCCTCAGCCTGGCCAGTGATCAGGGCTGATTGGGGGTGTCTCACCCAGTCTTCATATGGGCCAACTGTGGAAGGTTGGCTGGCTGGTCCCAATTGAGGCCAGCCGGCCAGGGGGAGGGACCACAGGAGATTGGCCAGCTGTGGAAGGTTTGCTGTGGGACTGCACTGACCACTGGGGAGGGGGAAAGTTCCTGCATTGAGCCTCTGCTCCTTTATAGCTACTGGCCAGCCATCCGGTCATCCGGTTGTAATGGATGTTTAGGCTTTTCTATGTGTAGGTATAAAAGTCTAAGCAACCGGACGATGGGCCAGTAGCTATGACACGCACTGACCACCATGGGGAAGATACTTAATGCAGGAGCTGCCCCTTGGTGGTCAGTGTGGTCCCACGCTGCTCAGCTGGCAGATGGGTGCTAGATGCCGGACTCACGGCTGATGAGTGCAGCTGCAGTCGTGTAAGCCTCTCCTGTGGACACTCCCACTGCACACCTGAGCGGAGGGGGTGGCAGGTGCAGCGGGCCAGGATGAGGGGGAGTGCCACGGTGCCTAGCCCGGGCTCAGGCTCCTCCCCGGCTGCTTGCTGCTTCGTGCACTGCTTCATACTGTGCGAGATTGATGCGTACAGTGGTCTGGAGCCCCATGAACTGGTGTGTAAGGCTGGGCTGTAGTGGCGCAGAGGTCCATTGATCTCCGCAAGCCAGGCCGAGGGACCCCACTGGTGTATGAAGCTGTGCACTGGGCCTCTAGTTATCTCATATTTTATTTAGTCTTCTAACTCAGCCTTGTAGATACAGGCTGAGGCTATAGGTCTGAATGTAACACAATATGGCAAGCTATTCTATTCATACTGGAGGTGGATGCATTTAGTTAAAATTCACATGGTGGTTTGTCATTAAACTCTAAGCTTAGGACGTGTACCCTGCATGTCTTTCTGGAATACATTCAAACTTGAAAATTTAAGACTTTAACAATTGCTTTTGTGTAGCCTAAACTCTACAGATCTGTAATTGAAGATGTGATTGAAGGAGTACGGGATCTATTTGCTGAAGAAGGTATAGAGGAACATGTCTTAAAAGACTTAAAGCAGGTTTGTCAATACAAGTTTCTTTGTCTTGTTTTTCAGCTTATAAAACTGATAATTATAGTCTAAATCCCTTAATTATAGTTTAATACTTACCCATTCATTGTGCCATCAGCTGACATCTTAATTTTTAAAAAGTAAAAATAAATAAGCATTATAATGTTTTATTTTATTTAAAAGCAAATATATGTATATTTTTATCTGCAGCTCTGGGAAACAAAGATTTTGCAGTCTAAAGCAACAGAAGACTTCTTCAGAAATAGCGTCCATTCACCACTGTTCACCCTTCAGCTGCCACACAGCTTCCACCAAACTTTGCAATCATCAACAGGTTGGATACAGTTAGTAAATTAGTACCATTTGGATCTTCAGACCAAATTCTCATTTGGTGGTGGTTTTGAATTAGACAGGGTAATGTTCTTAAGGTGAGAGGGCTCAGACCTCAAAATCATTACCATTAAGTGGACACAGTTACCCCATATAACTGTTGACAAATAATCAGATTGTTCAACTAATATTTTAAAATATTAAAAGTCCACAAAGGTGACAAAGTGTTCCTTGAGAGGAACAAGTTATATAATTTGTGGCTATTGGGAGTATACTTTGGTTATTTCAAAGAATTTGGTGAGTTCTGGTCAAGGAATAATCCAGACACCTTTGCTGAAGAAGCAGAGGGAAAGATGGGTGCTTGCATACTTGTGCATTCTTTCTCTTGGTTTCTGTATATATTATGCAGCTTGGTTTCTGTACTATACATCTGTTAATGTATTAAAAGAAAAATGGAGAATTGACAAGAATATGGAGGTTATTCAGGCTACCTCACTTTTTTTGATATATTGTATATAGTGATGGCTAGAAATTGACCCTACGCATCTAATCTTTATTCTTTGACTTATTAAATCTAGATCTCTGCTTTTAAGAGAAATATGTGTCCATATGTATATCAAACTGGAAAAGACTAGCTAATGGGAGAGAAAACTATAGTGTTATATCTTTCTAGCCTTTATTCCTTCTTTTCTTCTCTGATTTTTACAAATATTTTATGCTACCCTAATGTGTGTGTGTTTCTAGCCATCTTTGCATATATATCCAAAACAGTGATGTAGCTTGAATAATCTCCATATTTTTATTAACGTTCCATTTTGTGTGTGTGTGTGTGTGTGTCTGTGTTGTCTGTGTAGACATACATGTGTGTAAACATGTACACATTCATATATATATACATGTATATGTTTATACAACCACACAGATGCAACTATACACAAAAATAGGTTTTATAGAGTTTAGCTGAAATTCAGTAGATTAATGTTTGTAAGAGGTGATTATGGATTAGATTTTTAATAATAACTGGATTGTTTATTGCACACTAGGGAACATTCACATGAAAATCATATGGGCCAAGGTGAAGAGAAAAATAGTAAGGAGGCTAATACCTCATTTACAAAATGAGACAATTTAAGTGTGGCAACAATTACAATTTATTAAAAAAATGAAGTAAGTTACCAATAGATAGAAAATTACCAAACACAAATTTTATCTAATGCTATGTTTATAAAGTATAACTCTGCTCTATAAGAATTAGCCATGTCAGTTTTAATTATTTAGTTGACCCATCGAAACATTTTCTATCAGGGTTAGATTTTTGATGGTTTTTAGCTTTCCTATTTTATTAAGACATCCCTTTATTTTTCTATTTAAATAACATCTCTTTGAATTTTTCCTTTATTAAAGAACTTCAGAGATTTTTTACTTAGGAGTGGCTTGGAGGATGGCAAGTGTGAAAGGAGTAAAATACTTGACTGTCTTTTATCAAAAGCATAGTTCACACTTCTCAGGTTCTTTGTCCTTCAATATTGCAATGCTTGATTTTGCCACAAGATGGTAATATTCACAGTGATTTAAACCACAAAGCAGTCTTGAAACTAATATATTTAGTTGGCTTTCACTCAGCACTTTTATTCTCTGTTTTAGAAGTTAGAATAATAGAAACAATTACATTTAAATAAGACAGTTTTCTCATTTCTTCTATATCATTTATAATCAAGTAGTTTATAAGGTGTGTGTGTGTATATATATATATATATATATATATATATATATATATATATATCTCCTTTAAAAATGCATTTTGGGCTTTTTTTCCTTCTTCATTTTTAGGTATCCTAAAAATAAGATTCTTAAAGAAAATAGCCTTATAAAATTCATGTACTTCTTAATTATATCTTTCCAATGTATACCTTTAAAAGCTTGATTAAAATAACAAACTAATTTCTACAATCTTTTTTATCTCTTGATAAGTTCAGATTAATTCTACAATACAATAAATCTTTGCCTTTGTCCCACCCTTTTAAACTTATTTGTCCTATTTAGTTTCTGACTGTATTGTCCATTTACTATTTAAGAAATTCTTGTATCTTCAGTTGTCAACTTTTTTGGGGCGTCTCAGGATTCCTTTATACTGTTAAAAATTGAGGCCCTTAAAGAGCTCTTTTAAAAAGAAATCTTTACTCAAGGATATGTTTATTGATGAAAGAGAGAGAGAGAGAGAGAGAGAGAGAGAGAGAGAGAGAGAGAGCGAGCGAGCACGCGCGTGCGCGCGCGAGAAAGAAACATTAACGTGAGAGACAAACATCCATCCTACTGGGAATCGAACCTACAACCTTAGTATGTGACCTGAACAGGAGTTGAACATGCAACCTTTCTGGTGTATGGGATGCTGCTCCAAAGAACTGAGTCACCCGGCCAGGACTCAAAGAGCTTTCTTTTATACGGGTTTTAAGTATCCACTTATCATATTAGAAATTAAAGCTGAGAAATTTAAAAATTATTGGTTTATTAATTTAAAAATGACTATGTTAACATAAAAACATATTTGTTAAAATGAGTTAAAATATATTTGTTGAAACTATTTTTTCAGAACAAAAATATTTAATGAGAAGAGTGACATTGTATTACTTTTCTGCAAATTTTGCTGTCTAGCTTAATAAAAGACTGGATTCTCTTATCAATTTTTAGTTCAATCTGCTGTGCTATGTGTTTTTAGCTAAAGTATATGAAGAAAATCTATCCTCCCATTGATAGATAATTTGAGAAGAAAGAATATTTTAATAGTATTTTCAGATAATTTAATATTACACTAAAAATCAACAAGTGGTAGTTTCCGAGAGGTAGTGCAAGGTGGAATCTGAAACCATTAAATGGATTTTTTGTAATGTTAAAGTTCGTTGGTAGATCTTGCACTTGGAATGACTCTTTAATCATGTGTAATTTTGTAACATATTTGGTTATTTGGAAAATACTGAGTCACTGAGTTGTGCAGTTGACACATCATTTATTAAATAAGATTTAAAATAAATTATGTGCATTAATATCACCACATATCCTATTAGAAAAATATTATAAAGCTATCAAGCCCACTGTGGTGTATATAAAGTTTCCAAATTTCGATATTTTGCTTGAAAATGTGAATGTTATTATTACCAAACAAATATTACCAGTTTGTTTTCCTTGAAGTAGTGGGCATACTTAGTTCATTTTCAAAAAAATGTCTGCCAAATACCTAAATCTGAATAACCATAGGTTCTGTAAGTTTTTTTCACTTTTTAATCCTCACTCAAGGATACAATTTTATTGATTTTTAGAGAGAAATGGGATTCCTTTAGTAACCTCACAACAGCAGGTGTAAACTAGGACTGTTCTGGGCAAATTGGGACATATAGTCACCTAATCTATTTCTAAGGCAGTTTATATCAGATTATTATATGATCTTTTTCATGAAACCATTAGTCATTGAGGGAGGAAATAAAAGAACAGGAATAGAGAGAGGTTTGTGGTGGCTTTCATTTTTAAGTATTAAAACTCTTAAAGTTCAAGTATAAACTCTTATGTCCAATAGTTCTTGAATTTAGATCTGGTGAAAATTTTAGCAATGCTGTTGGTTCTTGAAATAATTTTAGTTAGAATATTCAGTTTGGTTAACATATGGAGACATCTATATATTAATGAGTAGTTACAAAGAGGAAATTGACTAGTCTTTGCAACTGTTGATCACCTGACTTGGTTACTAATCATTTGGAATGATTCAAGGTAGGACTAGGAATTGTAAAATTATTGTCTTAATGTAGCAATGACTTTTTGGTGTACCAAGAAAAATACACTTATAAATGTGAATATTGTTGTGCCATATTGTCTTTTTACATAAATTTCTTAAATTATATTTGTGGATTGAATTCTTTCTAAAAGCACATTCTTTGTGCTTTTAGAAAGAATTTTTATTTTTAAATAAAGAAATTTAATATTTTAAAATATATACATAAAGACCAAAATTCTGACACTTTGTTTAACTAAAAACATGTATTCAGTTAAAACTTAATTGGTTATCCAAACCATTTTGAATATTTTGAAAAATGTGTTGCAGGAACGTAGATTTATACATTATATATATATATATATATATACACACACACACATACATATACACACACACACACACACACACATATATATATAATTTATGAACATGCATAAATGATGCATGTAACTTGTGAATTTAGTATCAAACTTAAGTAGGAGCTGCATGAAACTTTACTATAAAATTCTGTTTGTTTATACTTTTATTCTGATGACTATAAAGAAACTCTTAAAACTCGTATAGCTCTGTTTGATTTATATAACTATAGAGAATTACCCTTTAGGATTTATTGCAAGGTCTTTAAAAGAAGAATATTGTTGCTATTTTTCCTTAAGAAATTCATTTAATTGCTTCAGACAATGTGTTAACAGATTTTTGTTTCCTCTCAGGCTATGGTTTAAGCTGTACCAGCTTAAGCTTTGCTCACTTCAGCTAATTAAGACTAATACCATTGTTTTCCTGCCTCCACAATTCTTCCTAATTTAGCTTTTTTAAAAGAATGCCTGTTAATAATCGAAGTCATAGATGAACAGAAGATAAAAATAATTTTGTGCTTCATTAACCATCAATCTATGCAACCTCACTTCTGTTGTCTTAATGTGGGAAGAATGGATTAAAGGATATTTGCTCTTCTGAGCTTTTTGTTGTATATTTTAGTGTCAGAAATAGATCTTGGGACAATTTTCCTTTATGTACTATGTGAGAAAGGCCATATATGTTTAATACCTTTGTGCTACATTAACACTCTGATTTTTATTAAAGAAAAGGCAAAATGATAGTCTTAATAGTCATATTCATGTAGGTAAAATGAACCTTGAGGTAAGGCTTAAGGTTATATTGATCAACTGAGATCCTTCTACTGACATTGCTATTTGTTTTTTAGACTGATATTTAAAATGATTACATTTACAGCCATTTGGCCAACTTTTTAGATATATTATAAATAATAAAGGGATAGTTAGCATAGAAAATTGGTAGAAAATAAAGATATGAAATTGCAGCTTTATTGCAGCTTAGGTTGAGTTGGTATTTCCCCAAGAAGAATTTGTTCTTAAATGTTTTTTAAGCAGTCAACCTGTTTTATGCAAAGATTTCAGGAGACATGGTATTCATTTATTTCTACACCTATGTAGCTGTGCTTGTCTTACTTGGCTAAAGTACTCTACATTTTTAAAAATAAAATGAATGAATTGAAAGCTCTTTTGAACCTATAGAATTTAGGGTAATTGGTGTTGGGTTATGTATTTTTGCTCAATAGTACAATCTTTGGAGATAATGCACTTTAACAAATATTACATTTTCTCCCCTGTGAAATGTTGTAATGGAGATTTAGTGCTACACTGACTTACTAAAGATAATCTAGGTATATATTGTGGCTTTCTATAATACAGTATACTTTATTAAAATGAAAATTTTCTCTTGGTATTTAAAATAGGTTAGTTGTAAAGTCCTTTAATTTGTTGGGAAAAATATAGTTAAATACTTTTACCTCTTTTGGGGTAAGGAAGTTTAGAATTCACCATGGTCAAACATGTTAGTAATGGAAACCAGTTTTAAAAATAAGCTATACTTAGGAATTTTATTCATTTGGTAAATTTTAATGAATTGTATAATTATTTCATTTTCTATGCAGCTTCATTAGTTATTCCTGCTGGTAGAACTCTTCCTGGTCTTACCACAGCAGAACTGGTATGTAGCTTATTTAAGATATATTTTAAAAGATATGCCCCACATTTAGTGAATGGTAGCAGAAGACTACCATTAGATATAATTCCTAATTCTCCATGTGAGTAGGAAAGGATGGGGAGACAGAAAAAAATTTCTTTAACAAAAATGTTGCAAAAACTCAGGAATTTCAGAATTGACATTTTCTTATCAACTTTTTCTATCTTCCAGAGAAGTTATTAGCATCTACCAAGACTACACCTTCAAGATTATAATATTTCTGAAGTTATATTGTACGGAGTTTTAATACACAGTATAACAGTGGTTCTCAACCTTTCTAATGCCGCTACCCTTTCATACAGTTCCTCATGTTGTGGTGACCCCCAACCATAAAATTATTTTTGTTGCTACTTCATAACTGTAATTTTGCTACTGTTAAATGAATCATAATGTAAATATCTGTATTTTCCGATGGTCTTAGGCAGGCGTCTTCAAACTCCGCAGAGGAGTCTGACCCGGCCCGCCAGGTTTTTTGGGCAGTGAGCGCAGCCGAGATGTTACAGTAGGAATTAGTAGTTCATATAGTCCGGCCCTCCAGCTCTCTGAGGGACCGTGATCTGGCCCCCACTTTAAAAAGTTTGAGGACGCCTGGTTAGGTGACCCTGCTAGTGGTTCTCAACATGTGGGTTGTGACCCACAGGTTGAGAACTGCTGTTACAGAGCCTAAGATATTTACATTACGATTCATTAACAATAGCAAAATTACAGTTATGAAGTAGCACGAAAATAATTTTATCGTTGGGGCTCACCACAACATGAGGAACTGTATTAAAGGATTGCGGCATTAGAAAGATGGATTGTAAATAGATAATTTGATACGGTACTTTTTCTGATTTTTTTTCTCCTCAGAGTTGAGCCAAATCATAGTTAGTCCCTTGATTTAATTGGAGCATTTTGGTCATTTTTTTGCTTTTAAATAGAAGATAAAGTATAGATTCCTCACACATATGATTTGAGAAAGAAAATAAAATTAAACATGTACAGAAAATTGAGTAGTTTTCGATGGGGAAAAATAGCATGCTTTGTCTTCTACCTTTTTTCCATGGTACTGATGGATATGTAATCTAGTAACTATTTTCATTGTCTTCCAGCCCATCAGCTACTTTTCTAGGGTTGACGGTTTAGTGGGCTATTTATTTCCATTTCCTCATAAAAAATAATAACTATATTGCTTTCAGGATATTTAATAAGAATGATGCTGCTTTTGATAGGAGACTAATGAAGAAATGTCTCTGCCTTTGAAATTAATAGACATAACTTTTCTCCTGATTAAAGAAAAAATATTCTTAAAAATAAAAGCAAATTTATAAAGTAAAAAGTGAAATAACCATGCAGTGTTATACCCCAAATATAACTGTTTTAATTGATTGATGTATACCCATCTAGACTTTTTTCATGAAAGTTATATTAATTTTCAGGGTAAAAGTTGGATCATTCTCTGTATTATTTCTGTAATTTATTTTTTTAAAATTTAGTAATATAGAGCTATTTTTTTTCAATGCTAGTTAAATATTGATTAGTCTTAGTGGGTACATTGCAGTATAATTAACCAATCTTGTTGATGAACATTTAAATTATGTTTAGTTTTGTTTTAACATAACATCCCATTGTTATACCTGTAGATATATCTTTGTGTATTTGTGTGATAATCAGGTAATCCGGATCCTGGAAATAGAATTTCTAGGTCAAAGATCATGCATAGTTTATATTGGAATGTTGCAGTTTTGGTATATATTGCAAAATTGTTCTCCAAAAGAATTATATACACTCATACAAGCAGTGGTCTGAGAGAATTTATTTGTTTGTTTGTTATTGCATCCTTTCTAACATTGAGTGTTACTAATAGGTCTTATAAATTATTGCAAATCTGATAGGCAAAAATGTTTGTCTTTTGATTAAATTTTAAACCATAAACCATAAAGCTTATTTCAAAATAAAACTTATACACTATTGTATCATCCACTTTAAAGTATAATTAGTGATCAACTTATAGACTAAAGGACTGTAAACAACTATGGTTCTTATATTTGACATCTTGAAGGTCAGTGGCCCAAATAAGGCTTTGCAGTGGGCAAGTTTTATACCAGTTCTCAGACTGTTAAAACTTAATGGATTTATTGCTAATAGCCATAGACAGAATTATTTTTATTTATAATGAAATTATTTGAATCAGATATAAAAAGCTGTTTTTTAAAAAAGAGCTAAGATGTAATGTTAAGCGCAGTCAAACTGTTGTCCTGAATCAGATTTTTTGACCATCTATGAGATCAGGAAAAAAAGATACAAGTAAAGCTCTTTTGTAGCTTTTTAATATAAATTTCTCATTTCTAGAGCACCGCAAACTCCAGTGCAAGCTTTGCTTTTCCTGGTTATCCTATTCATGTACCAGCAGGTGTGACGCTACAGACTGCATCTGGTAAGAGAATAGTCTAAAATGTTTTATTTTTAGCATTTGTATTGACTTCTGGATGGTAATATTGATGATTAAACTTCATACCAGAAATTATAAGAAATTTTAATAAAACTTGCTTTAAGTTTAATGATTAATGATGGTTATTATTATGGAGGCAATCTGCTATGAAAGACACTGTACTAAGCCTGTCCTGTATTTCATTCTCAATTCTCTTTCCCAGCATTGTATAAGATACTTTATATATGTTTTCCCTAACTCAAGTCAGTTATCTAAATTTTGATGAATACAAAATAATATATCTGGCCCCAGCTGGATGGCTCAGTTGGTTGGAGTATCATCCTGTACACCAAAAAGATTGCAGGTTCAATTCCCTGTCAGGACATATATATATAGGTTGTGGGTTTGATCCCAGATCAGGCCTTGAGGCAAATGACTGCGGTTCCTCCCCCCCTCTTCCCTCCCTCCCTTCCCCTTCTCCCTCCCTTTTTCTTTCTCTAAAATAAATAAACATATTCTCAAATGAGAATTAAAATAAAAAAACAAACATATCTGTGTCTCTGTTAGGTCTAATCAAGAAAAACTAAAGATTATATTGAGCAACATTTGTCTCCTTCTTATTGGAGATTGTATAGCATAATAGAATATCCAAAATGTTCAACTAATTCTTAACTTGAAAGAGAATTTTATCTATTCTTTGGGTTGTTGTAAAGTTCAAGCAAAATACCTAACACAATGCTCAAAAAATAAATTTCATCCTTTTAGTTTTAAAGGAGAGGAGAAATTTGATAACTTTTGAAATTAATAAACTCTTTTTTGGTAGCCTTTTCTTAAAATTGTTATATGGTATCTATATCTTAAATATATGAAACATATTCTCCATGATTATGTTCATTAAAATCCCAAATTTGAGTTGGTAACTCTGTAATTTATCAAACAATGGGAGAGGTTTATGGAGTAAATATTGTGGTCTATAAGTATTTCAAAATGTGCTATATAAGCAATAGTGGCAAGAGGCTAGAGTTAAGCAAGACATATTTAATTTTTAAAAATGAGCAATACATATTTATTCTAGAAAATACAAAAAAGAAAAGCTCCTAGAGATAACCACTGTTAACATATTGATATATTTCCTCCCAGGCTGTTGTACATGCTGTATTTTGAAGGAAATTAGAATCCTATTATTCTTATACTTTTGATATCTCCTTTTTAAGGTTACCTTTATAAAGTCAATGTACCAATTACGGTGACACAGACTTCTGGAAGAGCAAATATTCTTCAGCATCCAATTCAGCAAGTATTTCAGCAGCTTGGGCAGCCTTCAATAATACAGACCAGTGTTCCACAAATGAATCCATGTTCTCTTCAAGCATCTATAGAAAAATCACAGAAAATGGAAACTGTGTTCCAGCAACCCACAATTCTTCATTATGAGACAGTGGGTAGGAAGCATTTAGAAAATGCCACCAGTGATATACTTGTACTTCCTGGAAATGAGCATAAAATGGTGTCTGAAGCTTTGCTGAGTCAGCCAGCGGGCTCTCAGTATGTCAGTCTCCCTGGTGTTGGAGCTCCTCCACTAGTCTCCCAAAGAGCTGCCCATGTGGAGCCTTTGCTCAGTGTTTCCGCTAGCGGGACTCAAAACCTGCATGGCGGGCCCATCGCCTCAAGCCCTCAGGGGGCTCCGCACCAGCACTCGTCTGATGGTCAGCTTCCTTTTCTTAAAAACAGGATGTTGGGATGTGATTCTGTGAAGCAGCCGAGAAATAAAGAGGAGCCCAGCAGCCTGCCTGTCCCAGAGAAGGTATTAGGGGATAAGCAATGGCCAGTGATTAGACATTTTGAGTTTTTTAAGATATAATGTTCTTTAGAAGTATGTATGCTTTGTTTTTTTCTTTAGAAAATTGTTTTTATTTTTTATTTTTTTTCTATAACTATTAGTTTTTAAGGTATTCATGCTCCTGCTCAGAATTTCTAAACGTTTGATTTCAATTAATAAATTAGAATATTTCTTTAAAGAAAATGCATTTTTAAAAAATATATATTTTATTGATTTTTTTATAGAGAGGAAGAGAGAGGGATAGTCAGAAACATTGATGAGAGAGAATCATCGATCAGCTGCCTCTTGCACACCCCTACTGGGGATGTGCCCGCAACCAAGTACATGCCCTTGACTGGAATCGAACCCGGGACCTTTCAGTCCGCAGGCCGATGCTTTATCCGCTGAACCAAACCGGTTTTGGCAGAAAATGCATTGTTTTAAGATAATCAGTTTTACCTCTCTTTTAACATGGTAAGAATTGTTTTTGTCTGCAGATAAAAGACCAAGAAATCTGTCCTAGTAATTAAACAAATATTGTATTTTGGGGAAATTCATTGTCATACTTAATATACAAAAGAGGTCCAAAGTATTTTTTTCTTTGTTCTACTTAATTTTCTTAAACTCCTGTGTGAAAATTTTCTCCACATGAGGACTTATCTTTTAGTAGATATTTTGTTCCTCTCTTCTTGCTAAAATACTAGTTAACATAATTTCTTTTTGAATTTAAACCACTGAAAAATAGTTTCTAATTTGCTTTCCATATTGAAAATAGGTTTTGATTATCTTCAAGGAATTCATAGTGATGACAGAATGATTCATGGGGAATTTTGGATGGTAAAATAAAAAAGATCTTGTCTTTTTACAAATGTGAAATATGTCATAGATAACTCCAATTTCCAATTTTTTAGTGACATATGACAAATAGTTAAAGGTTTCTGTTTCTAGCTATTGGTTTCGTGGTCCTCTGGAAGTGCTGTACAAGCCTGTACAAGTTAAGTGCCACCTGAACATTTTCACAGGTAGAAGGAGAAGGCTGTAGCATATATTGGGTCGGCAACTAAGTAATTGCGGATTTTTTTAAAAAATTTTTTTCATGGAACTAAATAACTTTATTCTGTAATGTATTGCCCATTTTGATCAATGACCTTTTGCCATCTTTCAGGCAGCATCATAATCCCACGTTCAAAAAACTTCTGGTTTTTATTAGCAAAAAACTGAATCAGGTACGATTTGACATCATCATCATTATTGAAATTTTTACCATTCAAGGAGTTTTGTAAAGATCGAAACAAAAAGTAATCAGATGGTGTAAGGTCAGGACTATATGGTGGATGTGGCAAAACATCCCAACCAAGCTTCATTAATTTTTGCCGAGTGACCAAAGATGTGTGTGGCCTTGCATTGTCATGATGGAATACAACACCTTTTCGATTTGTCAATTCGGGCCGCTTTTCTTCAACTGCATTGTTTAATTTCGTTAGTTGTTCAATGTAGACATCAGAATTGATCGTTCGGTTGGGTGGTAAGAGTTCAAAGTAGACAATTCCTTTGTAATCCCACCAAACTGATAACAAAACCTTCTTTTGATGAATATCAGCTTTTGATGTTGTTTGAGTTGGTTCACCTGGCCTGCTCCACGATCTTTTCCTCTTGATATTGTTGTAAACAACCCATTTTTCATCGCCAGTTATCAGTCGTTTTAAAAATGGATCATTTTCATTACGTTTCTTTAGCAAATAGCAGCTGCTAATGCGTTGCGTTAACTGTGATTCTTTCAGTTTGTGAGGAACCCATGTATCGAGTTTTCGAACATAGCCAAGTTGTTTTAAGTGATTTTCAATGCATGTATGTGATACATGAAGCTTCTCTGCAATCTCACGTGTTGTTCTGTGACAGTCCGAATTGATTATTGCTTTGATTAGGGCGTCATCAACTTCAACTGGACGACCATAGCGTTTTTCATCTTTGAGTGAAAAATCACCAGAACGAAATTTGGCAAACCAATTTTGACACTGCTGTTCTTTTAAGGCTTCATCACCATAAACAGCACATAACTTTTTATGAGCTTGCGATGCGTTTTTCCCTTTGCGGAAATAAAAAAGCAAAATATGACGAAAATGTTCCTTTTGATTTTCCATTTTTCAACGAACGCCAAACGAAAAATACAAAACAGATCAAAAAACTTTTTTTACTGATTAACAGCTGAATAGCCAACTATCAAATAACAAAATGTGTTTTACATTTGTACTACGTCTACAAACCTAAAAATTCAACTGAAGCCATATATGTGTGAAACCCGCAATTACTTAGGTGCCGACCCAATAGTAAAGGATAACCAACAAAGAAAATGACTCTAAGAAACTATTGGACCTGTTTTAGGATGTTTCAGATGTTCAATGAAGCCTGTTCAAAAATTTTTAGCAAGTCTGTTTCTAATTTAATTTTTGCATAAACTATTAAGATTAAAGTGTTTTTAAAGTATTTCTTATTATATTTTTCAAATACTATACAAAAATTAAGAAATATAAGCTAAACGCATAATTATGAAGCAGTATTTGTTTTCATCACTTACGATTTTTAGAGGCATTTTTCTCCTGGACTCTATATGAACTTTGCAGTTTTCTGGTGTGATGATTCAAGGACTTAGTCTACTGTTACTTATTAGATATCACCTTGTACTTTGTTCTGATATGGGGAAGTAGATTAGTTAAGGGAGCTTAATCAGGGATTGTTTAGGGGATAGTGGTTGAGAACTTAAGCTTTGGAGTCATGATAGGTTGAAATTCCAAATTCACTACTTTTATCTTTTTGGACTGGGTATAAAACCAGCCTCACTCTTAGAATTATCAGAGATGATGTATATAGAGTTTTTAATAGCTTCTGGTACCATAATAAGCTTTATCGTAGTGCTATTGTACTTTTCTACTAGAGGCCCAGTGCATGAAGTTTGTGCACTGGAGGGGTGTCCTTCAGCTGACCTACACCCTCTTGCATTCCAGGAGCCCTTGAAGGGATGTCCGACTGCCGGCGTAGGCCCACTCCCCTGAGGGAATGGGCCTAAGTTAGCAGCCGGACATTTTTAGCGCTGCCCCAGAGGTGGGAGAGGCTCCAGCCACCACTCCTGCATTCGCCGTTCAGGAGCCCAGCTTTTGGCTGAGCAGCGCTCCCCCTGTGGGAGTGCACTGACCACCAGGGGGCAGATGCTCAACACATTGAGCATCTACCTCCTGGTGGTCAGTGCATGCCATAGTGATCAGTCGTTTCACCATTTGATTTACATATTAGCCTTTTATTATATAGGATGGGCATGTGGTATATTGGGTAACTTTTCATATAACTTGTTGGTTAGTATTAAAATAGATCTGTATTTAAAACACAGTCCAGGGAGAATCCAAGATGGCTGCACAGGTAAACACCTAGCTGCAGCCGCACACAACAATTTCAATAAAATACAACTAAAATATAAAATGGACATTACCCAGAACTACAGGAAAGTTGACTGACTGGAAATTCTACAACGAGAAGCAAGGAGAAAACCAGAAGGAAGCGCGGAGGAGCTGTAAAAGCCTAAGGTATGGAGACATGCGACGTGAGCGGAGAGGATGGAGCCGGAGAGGAAGGGCGGGGTGGCTGAGTGCCTGGCTGGCGTTCCCTAGCCGGAAGGAGATAAAAGCTCCGACTGTGCTGGGCCCCAGTTCCGACTGCTCTGAACCCCAGGTCTAGGCCAGACCCTGGAGACCCAGGCTCATCCATAGGGAGCTGGGTTGTAAGGCGGAACCCCAGGGGAGCGGCGAAAGGAGGTCCCGGAGGAGCGCACATTGCGCGCAGAGAAGGGATGGTTGGCTGTGCCGTGGGATTGCCCTGGCAGGAAGGAGACCGGGGTTCCAGACTGCTCTGAACACCACCTCCAATCCCACTTCCAACTGAACTGAACCCCAGTTCCGGGCTTATTGGGGGAGAGCCTAGACTGGTAGCAGGCGAAAATTGAGGGCACCTTTCTCTCAGAGGCTCTTGCAACGAGTACTGAAGGACCCTGAGACTCAGGAGCCGCATAGGGCGGGGCTGACAGAAGCCAAAGCTGTAGGCTCCACCCTGAAACCTCGCCCCATCAGGGAAGCTACAAAAATGCCGAGATAAAATAGATGACGAAAGAAATGGAGGACAAAAAGCGACTGGATATAGAGTTCAAATCTATGCTTATAAGGTTTTTCAAGAATTTCCTAGAAAAGATCGATAAGACCTATGAGGATATGAAAAGGGATCAACTAGAATTAATAAGGATTCAAGAGAAATGACAAGGGATCAACAAGAAATAAAGAATACATTGTCTGAAATAAAAAATATTATACAGAGTCCTAAAAACAGAATGGAAGATCGCAAGAATCAAGTCAAAGAGTTGGAACATAAAGAGCCAGAAGATACTCCTCCTTAGAAGCAAGAAGGCAAGAGAATCCAGAAAATTGAAGATAATGTAAGAAACCTCTGGGACAACTTCAAGCGAACCAACATCAGAATTATGGGGGTCCCAGAAGATGAGAGAAAGCAAGATATTGAAAACATACTGAAAGAAATAGTGACAGAAAACTTCCCCCACCTGGTGAAAGAATTAGACTTACAAGTCCAGGAAGTGTACAGAACTCCAAACAAAAGGAATCCAAAGAGGACCACACCAAGACAAATCATAATTAAAATTCCAAGAGCAGCCGAAACTGGTTTGGCTCAGTGGTAGAGCGTCGGTCTGTGGATTGAAAGGTCCCAGGTTCGATTCCGGTCAAGGGCATGTAGTACCTTGGTTGCGGGCATTTCCCCAGTAGGGGGTGTGCAAGAGGCAGCTGATTGATGACTCTCATCAATGTTTCTAACTCTCCCTTCCTCTCTGTAAAAAATCAATAAAATATATTTAAAAAAAAATTCCAAGAGCAAAAGACAGAGAATATTAAAAGCAGCAAGAGCAAAGAAGGTAGTAATCTATAAAGGAGCAC